GGGATCTTAACCCTTGACTTGGTGGTGTCAGCACCACGCTCTCCCAAGTGAGCCACAGGCCCACCCCTTGCTTCCTATATTTTTGACAATAAACCGTACCACCAGAAGAGAGGATGTGGGGCTAGTTGGTTAGCTCAGTTGGTCAAAGCATAGTGTTGTAACACCAAGGTCAAGAGTTCAGAAGAGAGGATGTGATCAGGAGGGGAAAAAAAATGAGAGAGGTTCACACTGCCATTATTTTCATTATTGAATGTCTCAAAGCCTTTTAGGGTATAAACAGCAATCAATTTTTAGGAAAGGAAGCTAGATTCACACCACTTTTCAAATCTGGGCCTCTTCTTTTCCATGGCAATTTTTTTTGGTATCATGTATTCTTATAGAATTCCATCTTATGGGATACAGATACAGTCTGAAGCTGTTCCACGATGCCTGAATCTTTTAAGCGTTAAGTACCTCTATGATTATAAGAATTGCTAAACAGCCTTGCAAAACTGTGGGTTGTTTCCTCGGGATCTAAATGTATTCACACTCACCGTGCAGTATGAAGGGGGAAATGATTGTGCTGGCTTGGTTTTTTTGTAACAGTCTTGTGACATGGCTTCCACATTGACCCGTGGGCTGCAGTTAAAGAACCTGTCCTAGGACAAGACTAGACTTGTGAATTAAAAAAAAGTCACCTGAGCTGTTTCTTTCCTAGACAAATGGGATTCCAGTTTGGGTTTCAGAGGGCCATTTGTATAGCTTGCAAAAGATACTGGATCTTTTGATATTTCTATTCTAGTAAAATTTGGAGCTCTGACCCTTATCTAGTATATGATTTTGGGTTTCAGAGGGCCATTTGTATAGCTTGCAAAAGATACTGGATCTTTTGATATTTCTACTCTAGTAAAATTTGGAGCTCTGACCCTTATCTAGTATATGATCTTTCCGGGAATGGAAAAATATGCTCTATCACTTAATGTGATGTCACTTTTCTTTAACCCCCTCTGTAAACAGTACACATTAGGACATCAGGTCTACTGTCAAATAATTTTTCTTTATAAACATAGTGACAACAAGATTGTACAATATCAATTAATGAGACAGAATGTGATCAGGTCTACCACTGCTTGAGTTTTGGAGCAAGAGAAGCACTCAGCCTAGAGATGAGCACCTTTCCTTCCAGAGAAAGAAAACATGATGCTTGAAAAAAATCTTCTCTCTGAGTATTTACCCAGCTAGAGAGGTGGATTGTCAGATCCAAATGGTCCCATATGAATCCTTTTTTCCCGGGCAGTGCGTAGATCTTTCACAAGTGATGAATAACCTCTGCTTGGTTTGTTTAGGTCTAGGACTGGACTTCGTAACCAGGGATTTGGTGTGCGTGGCTTCAGAGGCTGCAGAGAAATGTTAAAATATGAGTGCATATGCCAAACATGGGGTTTTGTATGAGAGGTAGACCCAAAGTGCAAGTCTCTTCAGCATGGTTTGTCAGAATAGCTCTATGACCTACTATACTAAATAAGAAAAAAAAATTTTTTTTTTTCGGACCGGTAAGGGGATCGCAACCCCCGGCACAGTGTCGTCCGCGCCACGCACCGGCCATCCCTTTATAGGATCCAAATCTACGGCCTCAGCGCTACCAGCGCCACACTCTTCAGAGTGAGCTAAGGGGCCAGCCCAAGAAAATATTTTTTTGAAAAGAAAGAAAATATAGTGATCATACTTTATCAGTGTTGTTTTTAATGATGTTATTCTAGGATGTTTTCTTTCCAGATGATGACTGAGAAGCTAATACAAAAAATGGTGCCAGTTACCACAACAGTAAAAAAAAAGAAAAAAGAAAATAGATCCTATGAGTTCAAGACCTGCCACCTTTGACCCTAGTCAGAAGCCTAATGTGGAGAATAGGCCTGAATTGCCCACTCAAGAAGCTATGGGTATCTGCACGATGACCTTTGGGGTTAGCCTGTGTTTTCTGTATCTTTACTATTATGCATAAGTAGCAACAACTATGCGACGCTCCTATAACTACGAGAAAAGACCCTTATTCCTGGTGTGTGCCGAGGATATAGATTCACTCAGAGTAAACAGCACACTTCTCTACTTCAACCCCAGAAACCAATGTAGTGATGACCAGGGATGAGCTTGCATCTAGATTAAAGCATTGCCAGGAGTCTAGGTAGTTCTAATAACAATCCAAGTATCTGTATTACTCCATGGATTAATAAAAAGAATATCCTCCTCACCCTGAAATAAATTCTCAGACTGGGGCAAAGCACAAATGGAAGCCCATTTACCACATGTCTAAATATTTAAATATTATAAATTAAGCTAACAAACTGTTGAGTAAAATACATTCTGTTACCTGCCTTGCCAAGGAGACCAGATCTGAATTTGATGTTCTAAGATTCTTTGGAGTTCCTTACCAGATCATAGTGGTGCCCACCCATCTCTTTCCATTCCCAGCTCCATCCCACACTCTGAGGACTTTGCAATTACACATGTGGACATGCTAGGCTGTGTGTCTAAGCTCTGTTCTCATATCCCTATTCCTTGAGTCTAAGTGTATATACACTAGCAATACTGCCCACCCTTGGAAAGACAGATCAGCCCACCAAAGTCTGAAAATGGGCAGGAAATTCCAGAGTTTTGGTGTGTCTAAGCTCTGTTCTCATATCCCTATTCCTTGAGTCTAAGTGTATATACACTAGCAATGCTGCCCACCCTTGGAAAGACAGATCAGCCCACCAAAGTCTGAAAATGGGCAGGAAATTCCAGAGTTTTGGGTGACCAGAGTGTGAGGTCTATAAGGTAGGCATGGGATATGGTAGGCAGGCCCATCTGGCCCCATGGATTTCTTGCTCAGTGAGGAGGGGTGTTGCCAGAGGTAAGAGCTGAACTCTCTAAAGCTGATGTCTCTGGTAGAAGCCCCTCCTGCTCCAGGGTATTACTGGTTAGGTTATTGCTAGCCATTCTGATACATGATTGCCTTCAGGAAATCTGCTGCTGTCCACAGTGCTCACTAAATTGGTGATGTGACATGAAGGTACAAGGCCACAGGTTGATAAGAACATGTCCTACGGTACCCAACACTGAAGTATGTTAGTAATGGAGGAAAAATAAGGTTTGAAATGTACAGGGCCAGAACCTACTTTATGGAAAATTCTTTTAATCATCACGTGTATAAAAATTATAAAAGGATTTAATTCTTATTGATGCCTAATCAAAAAGTTCTCTCCGGGGCCGGCCCGGTGGTGCACTCAATAGAGTGCGGCACTTGGGAGTGTGGCGGCGCTCCCGCTGAGGGTTCGGATCCCATGTGGAGACCGGTCCGCTCGCTGGTTGAGCGCGGTGTGGGCGCGACACCGAGGGTTGCGATCCTGTTGCTGGTTGCGGTACGGGCGCGACACCAAGGGTTGCGATCCCGTTACCGATCATGAAAAAAGACAAAAAGGAAAAAAAAAAAGTTCTCTCCTGATAATGCATCATCATAAACATACCATACATTATTCCTTTTTGATAGGAATTAAGGAAAATAGAATTTATCAGAATTTGTGTTTTTATAGGGAACAAACCTGTAGTGGTTCTATAAAGTGAGTTTGTCTTTGTATATATATTTCTTCCTCTTTCGTTAAATAAATAGGAAAATTTTTATTGCAATGTCTAATGAATTTAATGGGATTATTCCTGGTTTTTATACTTGATTACTCTTTAATTAACCTTAAAAGCCTAACACCAGAGTTTGATATATTATGCCCACTCAGACATTTATAGAAGGAACACCACGCCTTTTATAATATTCCTTATTTCCTCATTTCATGAAAACCATAATTTTTTTTTTTTTATTTGATAGCTGGCCAGTATGGGGATCTGAACCCTTGACCTTGGTGTTATCAACACTGTGCTCTAACCAACTGAGCTAACTGGCCAGCCCCAAAACTTATAATTTCATCTACACGTTGTATTGCATTATTACCAGTTAAGTAATAAGAATCAACCTATTATTTATTGTATTGTATTTCATTACTTGAAAGAATGAATAAATCAATTATAATGGGCCATATTGTTTTGACTTTCAGGATATATTCCCCTATTTATTATATTTATTTTTATTATATTTTTGAATATTATATGTGAAATAAGAAATGAAATCATGATAAAAAGTAAGTTTGACCTGCATATGAATGTTTATAGAGGCTTTATTCATAATCACCACAAACTAGAATCAACCAAAATGTCCTTCAATAAGTGAATAGACAAACTGATACATCTGGAATGGTATTCGGAGATAAAAGGAAATGAGCTATGAAAAGACTTGCATGTGTGGAGTGTACTAACATTAATAAAGCAAATGTATTTCACAGGGCCTAGCTTCTGATGGATTTTGGACATGACTGGTGCCACTGTGCACACAATAAGCACAAAATAGCCGCAGGCCTTGTCTTCCACTCCAGCATTAAACCCCTCCCCGCTTCCCTTTATGAGAAGCCTCCTGACTTAAACAGAAACCCTTTTGCTTCTGCAAGGGTGCAGTTCTCCACCCTAGTTGCATAGTTTCCATATTAGCATAATGCCACTCCTTGATGGTACCAGCCAGCCCTTGGCGCACTATATAAGCTCTCCTACCCCCACACCTGGTGCTGTCCCCCACTATGAGCGCAGCCTGGCAGATTCTTTTCCTTTAATAAAGGTTGAATGGTACCCAGTGACTTGGCTCACTTTCTTTCAGCTTCCAAAGCCCTGTAGTCTCAAGTATAGCCTAACTTTTAAAAATTATACATAGAAATGTTAAGATTGCGAAAGACAAAAAAACTTTCCCCAGGCTAAAATCTCTGAGTTGTAGATAAAAAATTGTAACACAGCAAAATTGCTGGCTCCAAGGACAGATGTCCTTGGTGCAGCTAAACCTAATGACTGTTGCCATGACAATTATCTTACTGCTCTTTTGTAACCACGTATGTTCCTTTTCTATAACTTTCCTGCCTGAAGAATAAATATGGAGAGAAGACCGGACTTCAGAGTTAGGTGTTAATTTTCCAAGAAGGAATGCCTCTCTCTTGAGGGTTTGTGGAAATTGACCCTTTCGGGGCTTCTCACTGCTCAGAAGAAATGGGCTTTGAGTAATCCTTTGCGTCTCCATCACCCTGGGGGAGAGGTAACATGCATGAACCTCCTTAAATGTGCATTGCTAAATGAGAGAAGCCAGTCTGAAAAACTACATAATGTATACTCCAATTATATGATATTCTGGAAGAGGCAAAACTATAGACACAGTAAAAAGATCAGTGGTTGTCAGGTATTTGGGAGAAGGAGAGGAAGGTTGAATAGGCGAAGCACAGGAGAATTTTAGGGTGGTGAAACTATTCTGTGTGAATCATGACAGACACATTACATTATGCATATGTCAAAACCTGCAGCATTTCATAGCACAAAGAGTAAACCTTAAAGTGGGCAAATAAAAAAATCATTTAGGAAGTAAGGGAACCCAGGAAGGAATGCAGACTATGACAAGAGAATCTAACTGTTCTACAGATGTACAAAACAGCCTTGGTGAATAGGGTAGGGAAAACTTTAGAAATAAGTGGAGTCTGTAAGACTAAAAGCAACAGGATTTACACATAGCACTGTACTCTAGATAATAAAATTGTTTCCCAAGGGAATTAGAGTTAATAATTCTGGTAAATAAATGTGCTGGAATTGAATCATAAAATAAATGGATGGAGGATGGTGGGAGACAGGTTTCTCTCTGTTGGAGTAAGACTTTACAGATAAGCAAGCGGGGGAGACTAGAATGCTCCATATGGTGATAGATTAGAGTTGAAGACATCAGTATAAACTCACGTTTAGTTTAATATAGATAAATATGGTTACATATAGAAATATATAGATATGTATATATGCATGGGTTAGTATACACACATATATTTCCTTGCTCTGTCAGTCAAGAGGGCCTAGAAGCAATTGTATCCCAGTTACAATGAGCACACCTAGCACCCAGATCTTGCTTTCTAATACCATTCTCCAATGAGGAACCAAGGTCCCTTGGAGAAATGGCTGATTCTAGGACTAAGGCAGGAAATATACAAAACGAACCTGGAGAATTTTGTAGTGCCAGAAAGTAAGGAGTGCTCAACACACACACACACACACACACACACACACACACACACACTGATAGAGGTATGTCACAGGGTCACAGGAGCCAACTCAAAGAGCTCCCAATGGCCAAAGCTGGAACAACTTGAGCAATAAAACAATAAAGTAATTTAGGATTATAGTCTAAAGCATAATATAAACATCATTAGTCCATATTGATATAAATAAATGGTTAAATAGGGGAGAAGAGAAATGTCCCTTGCAGAAGAACTCCAAATAATTTATGTAGATACGCAGC